GCTTCTCACTTACAGTCGCACAAGTGGGTGATTCTCTGCTCAAGCACTTCCACATACTTCAACTCAGGCATCACGATGTAGATTTGTGGCTCTGTCATCGCGCCGGTTTGCTTGTGTGTGTGTGTGTGTGTGTGTGTGTGTGTGTGTGTGTGTGTGTGTGTGTGTGTGTGTGTGTGTGTGTGTGTGTGTGTGTGTGTGCGTCAGCTCTTGCACGTGTGTTTCATGCCGAACATTGTCTTCCTAAACACTACGCAAATCTCTTCAATGTGATAATTGGCTCCCCGGGGTGCTTGTATCTTTGCTGCTCATCATCGTTATTCCCTCAAGAAAAAAAGTGTGTGTGTGTGTGTAAGAGAGAGAGAGAGAGAGAGAGAGAGGGGGGGGGGGGGGTTTCCTTGATTTGATTTATCAAGTCTCATAACTCAGGGCATCAGCTGCTTGTACTCTGATACAATGCCATGAATGAAATTCTCTGTTGTAGGATGATGTTAGAGACCAGTGATGGATGAGGCTTAGTTGTTGCAGTCTACTGAAGGCACTCGGCTGCCTTTATTGTTTCTGTGGAGGGAAAAATCTGAAGAGCTCTCAGTTTATGGTAATTAGTTTAAAGCAGCTGTTTGAATGCTCTCCATGTTTAGATGAATTTTAATGTCACACACAACCACGGCCAAAGGTTTATGAATAACACAAGTATTGGTTTTCACAATATTTGCTGCTCCAGTGTTGCTTCAATCAAATGTCAGGTCGTAAGCATAGGCCGTGAAACTTTGCTGGCAACCATGGTAACCAAGCACCTATAGGACCACAAGGACAAGATTCTCACTTATGAAGGTAAAAGTCTATGTGAAGTAGGGGTTGCATGACTTCATTTTTTTTAAGTCGACCGTCAAGTAATGAAAATCGAGTCGACTTCGACTAGTCGTTGATGACGTCATACACCTGAAGCGCGGGGGTATCGCTGGAGTTTTTGACAATTAAAATTGCGCCCACATTTTCTAAGTTAACACCTTTCTTTTAACAACGGTAGTTTCTGCATCCTGCTTCAGCCCTCTCCCCCCTCCCCCTGTGCAGCGGCCACAAACTCACTGATGCGCCTGCAGCCTCTCGGAGTTGCTGCTCTAAACATAAAAATAATTATTTCATTTTCTGTTCCTCACTTCTGATTACCTTCAATGGTGTGTGTTTGTTGCAACCACCAGGTACAAAAACGAACTTGTTTTTATTTGACTATTTTTCTGTCCTGTCTGTTTATTATCTTCCTGCGTCTCCTCTCAATCCTAAAGAGAAACTGCTACCTGGGTTCATATATATTCACCTTATGAGTTACCTTTGAACTGCAGTTCTAAAAGATCTACCGACCGCAAAAACAGCGGAGTGCGTGCTGTGCGCCGGCTGCACCGGTGTGATGATCACAGGAGGACAAAACAGGTGATGCACTCCGCTCCACAGCAGCAAAACGCATCAGGCACAAATACAAGACAGAAAACATAAAAGGAAATGAGCCGACATGAACGTGTTCAATTTGTTTTTGAGGTGGCAACACCTAATTTGATAATGTTACTGTGGCCGCACTCGGGACGCAGAAGTCTGGAGCGCGTCAACGATCAGAGCTTTGCATGCACAAGCTGGTTGGGGGTGAGGGGAAGGTTAAATTGCAAGAGGGTAAAGGTCACAATTCGGTCAATTGTCCGTTTTACGGCGGGTGTCAGATACCGACGTTCTGGCACAATGCGTCGCCTCCCGACGCGCAGGGGCTCGTCACCTGCTGTCTTTTCCGAGGACTGCATCTTGTCGGTCATTATCACGTGACAGCGACTAGTCTATGAAAGGCATAAAAAGTCACTACAGAGCAGTGACGTCGACTAGTCGACTAGTTGATACAACCCCTAATGTGAAGTAGTTGTCTTTATGGTCGTGTCCCTTCATCAGCTCCGACTCTGACAACTGGCTCCCTGGTAAACCCCCACCTCTTGTGCTTCTGAACCAAATTGCGGCTGATCACAGCTGCTTCTTCATAACGATTGTTTACATTTCTTCTGATGTTAACTAAATGACCCAGTGTTCCATGATGCTGTAAGAAATGTTGCTTATCACCAAAACGTCCTCAGATAATTAAGACAATGAATGCGTTCCTCTTGGAGGATGTCTAGGTACCAGTTTTAATCCTACTAGTTCAAAGCTAAACTGTAAATCAAACTCTCTTGGCTCAGAGGCCACAGTACACATGAATCTCTGGATGCCTCAGACCATCAGAACAGGGATTTATCAGAGCAAACTTGTACCTTGGTCTCTGCAGTCTTGTACTTTTAGCAGAACATCCGTCTGTCCTTAATGGATTTCTTAGAGAAAAGTGGCTTCTTTGCTTCCCCTTTAGACATCACGCCATCCTGCAAAAGACCGGTAGATGCATGACCACTTTCCTGTTGGTACCATGATCCTGCAGCTGAATAAACTTTAGCTGATGGCTTTGTTGAGTACCCTGAATATTTATGATAATTGCAGTGGGGATGGATTTAGAATGGATATTCTTTATTTTTTTGCACTGCAAGGAATTACATATGATTTTAAACCTTCATAACATTTTGTCATCAGAAAGGCTGTACCAATGTTTGTGTCGTTCTGTAAACGTATGGCCGTGGCTGTACTCAACTTTAGGTGGTGGTTTAGCAGCGCTGACACCCGAGCAGGTCGTTTCTTAACGCTTGAAGGGAAACAGAGAAGTTCATCTGGCCACAGTGTCTCTCTTTCTCTCAAAGTCTTTCTCATCCATATGTTTGCGTGGTCCCTGGGGTATTAAGGACCACAGAACAGATTGTTGGCCGCTTCATAGGGGAACTGATGAGACAGCTGGGCAACCATCACACAGCCAAACAGATGTTCAGGTGACTCGGAAAGGAAGTGAAGGGAAATGGCAGGAGGGTGGATGGTGATGCGGAAGAAGGAGAGTGTTGATGGGGGCACAAAAAATGTATGAAAACGTTGATGCAAGGTCTTCATTAGAAATGTGTTGTGAGCCTCTGAGGTGGGCCAAATAGTTTCCATTCTCCCCCAGGAAACAGGAGTCAGTTTAGTCTCTCATGCTGCCACAGCTCCTCAGAATATCTGCTCTAGGCCTAATGCCTTTGATCTCTCGATTATCTTTTCCTAGATGTGAACGAGATGCTAAGCACCTCATTGATTCAGTGCCTTGATTCTGACACACCTTAGGGAATATTCGGAAACTGAGTCCAACCCTGCAACCAAATGAAGAAACGTTGCTTCTGTTTTTCATTTGCTGGTTAAAGAAAAGAATGGAAATCCGTGGCTTAGGGCCAAGCTCGATTCAGTCACAGGATCTAATCTGACACAAATCTGTCGTGGCTGATGTAATAGCCAATAGTTTTGGCAAGAGCTTCATCCCTTGCCAGTAGTGAAACCCATGAGTTTTTGCCTTCAGTGCGTTTGTCAAATTAAACCCAACAAAAGTTCTTTTATATCTGCTCCCGTCCTGCCCCCCCAAACACACACACACACACACACACACACACACACACACACACACACACACACACACACACACACACACACACACACACACACACACACACACACACACACACACACACACACACACACACACACACACACACACACACACACACACACACACACACACAAACACAACCCTTCTCTTCTTTCTTGTGTCAACCTTTGTTCTTTGGTTGCAGGTCTTATATATAATACATGAGGCTTGGGAGACTTATCCCATCCTGGCCATACTGGATCTTATTCCCTGGAAAGGAGCTATATTTAAGAGCTGGATAGGCCAAGGATGGAGTCAGGGGAGCTGCTGACTTCTACCCAAAAGGTGGTGGTGGTTGAATGTCATTAAGGTCTTAAAATAGAACCCAGTATAGTAGCGTTGTAGCGGCAACAAGGTTGATTTGATGGAATTTAAGTTGATTATGACCTCCATGGAAAAGCTTCAGTACTGCTTCGGTCCAGAATGTGTTTCTGTATGGCACTGTGCTTCAAACCCAAATATCAGAGACACTTTCATCAAGTGTGTGTGTGTGTGTGTGTGTGTGTGTGTGTGTGTGTGTGTGTGTGTGTGTGTGTGTGTGTGTGTTTGTGTGTGTGTGTGTGTGTGTGTGTGTATACCAGTGTATAGATTTCAAAGACACTAATGAAAAGCCATTATCACATTAACATCTATTAACTTTAGGAGCCAACCTTATTCAGCATGGCTGCTATAGCTAATCAACCAGTTAGCATAATTTTCAGGATTTTACCAAAGTTGCTATAACACATTGCATTCTGAAAGGGCAAATCCCCTAAGAAACCATATTTTACTTGTTGTTTTTGGTCACTCTGAGTTTCACATGCAGGTTGATTTTGATAATAGTCTTCTATCCCAATTTTCGGTGTTAGCCTCTTATCGAAAACAAAAAGACATGCTCAGGTCAGGGAAAACCAGTCAAATCTACATCAAGCTGTAAATTAGCTTTCTTGGACTCCCCCATCTTGGCTTACAATGGGATAGTCCTTTATGTTTTAGCATCCGGGAGAGAGCAGAGTGTGTCTGGGCTAGTAGAAGCTAACCATTAGCATTAGCAACTCCACCACACAGCACAACTTCTTCAAGCTCGTGGTATTTGTGGAGATTAAACACCAACATTGTAAAACAAACAAAGTCAGTGGTAGAGTCGCGTTGCTGTTAGCCAATCAGTGTTGAGATGTCCAAATTTCAGGAAATAAGACTCCCAATCCTTCCATCGTCTGCTCACCTCTGCACTGGCTAACCTCTAGTTCCTGAAACAGGAATCAGAGCTTCTTTCCCACACAGATCAACTCAATACACATTCATCTGTACTAGAGACCACTGCACATGTAATGAAAAAGCTTAGTTTTTAATATTAGATTATATTAAATTAAATCTCAGGCATGAAAGGTGATAGGTGATAGTTTCTAACCTTTTTCTGAAAATCCCAACATTTATGTTTGTATTTGTCCTTCCACAGCTGGCACCAACTACATCTTTGGCAAGGGTGGGGGCCTAATCACCTACACGTGGCCCAACAACGAGAGGCCAAGCACGCGGACGGACCGGCTGGCAGTCGGCTTCAGCACCACCATCAAAGATGGCATTCTGGTCCGCATAGACAGCGCCCCACGCCTGGGGGATTACATCATGCTCCACATTGTATGTATTCCTGTAACGCCATGAGAAGTCAGTTATCTGACAGTGTTTTTCAAGCATTCACATATTTCAGGCATTACAAACCAACGTGATGACCGCAAACGGACCTCTGAGTCACTTATATCCTTGGGTCAACCCGTGTGTCTCAAACCACTCTATGCAAAAGATGCAACAAATAGACCCCACTGTACACTTAGGTCCACCTCTGCACCACATTCATACCAACTCCCTGCATGAATAATGAATGCACCATACATATGCAGTGTTTTGCTACATGCTGGAAAAACATGATGGGAAATAGGGGGGGTGCCGCGAGATGGAGTTCATAACCAGTGGATCGAGTGCTTGCGCAGCATCTTAATAATCTCTTTCTCTGCGACCTTGCGTTTGGCTCGTTCACATGAACATTAACTATTAACATAATGATCAGCGACCCCCAGACGGGCGCGGGACATCAAATCACTGCAGCAGTGGTGTGACAACCTTGCGTCGGTCTGGAAAGAGTTGCCGCTGATGCCATGTGAAATAAAATAAAAATATAACAGATGTGGTGAAGAGGGGCTACAGTGTCTGAAGCAGATTGAAAGGCTTTTTCTTGTTTAAGAGCTTCAGTTATTTCCTGAATGCTGGACATGTGGTGCAAAAAAGCAGCCAGCTGCTCTGCAAACATGCAGCCAACAACAAGCTGCTTTGCAGCAGACACAAACAGAGGTGAAGGAGGTTTGCACGTAGGTGAGAGAAGAAGTAGAGTGGCACGGATTTAGGAAAATTACATCAATTTACAGTAAAGCACGTGGGAGATGTGGGAAAACGGCTCCCTGTGTAATGCATTTTTAATCCTTTGTTTCAGACTCCACAGCAAAGTTAACCAAGCAGGATGTATTCTGTCATTTGACAGGGATGTCTTCATTTCTGCTCTCTTGATGCATTTATTAAACACAAGTGGCGATTTCATCAAGTCATTCATGGAGTAAGCGTGCTGTGAAGTAGCTCTCTTTTTGCTGTTGCTCTGCTGATATTTCAAATGATTTATTGACATCCAAGGGTGTAAAAAACATTTATTAGTAGCAGTAATTGTAGCCTTGAACGATAAAATAAGTGGTGAAGTGCTTGCATGGCTTCTTTGTTCTGTAATTATACTCAAATGGAAATAAAACAAGGGAGGCTGGATTTTCCTCCACAGGTAAACGGTGAAATATTCATTAGACCTTGAGTCAATATTTAATTGTGAATATTTACATCTGTAAAAGAAACACACCACTTCTTCCTAATGCTAATATTTAACGAGAACATTATCATTTGTTCCACATTTACGTGTGGAAATATTAAAGCGAAGGTTAATCCCACAGGGAGATTGTCTCATTTCCTACTAAAACAACTTCTTTGCATGAACATAGATGTTTTTTTTAAATGAGCAGAAATGCTTCGCTACAATGAAACGCCACAAGATAACAATTTCAAAAGACAGACATCCGTTTTTGGCTCTGAGCAGTTCTGTAATGAATCTGAAGGAAAAGGTTAAAAGCATTATGCTTGTCGATTCTGGATATACGTCCGAGCAAAGGTCTGTTCAGGCTGGGGGCTATCACCTTTGCTTTGTAATTATTAGGTCACAGTTTGAGCAGCAGCACACTAAATCTGGATTTAACACCTTTAATGGCTCATTTGATGTGTTGGAGTCAAAAAAAGGAAAATTTTTAGCTGTTAAGTAGAGGGGATTTTGGTTTTGAGTGTGTGTGCGTGTGCGTGTGCGTGTGTGTGTGTGTGTGTGTGTGTGTGTGTGTGTGTGTGTGTGTGTGTGTGTGTGTGTGTGTGTGTGTGTGTGTGTGTGTGTGTGTGTGTGTGTGTGTGTGTGTGACATGCAGAGCTCATAGCTATTAGGAAAAAATAAAAGCAGCCATTTCAGAGCAAAGCTAATCACAGTCTCTCCCCGGACTCGCTCACTCCTTTGCTTAGCTCATTAACTCTTCCTCGTGATTAGCTTCCAGCTTGTTTGGCAATCGTGAATTAAAATGCTGATTGTAGTGTTTACGTTGTAGCTGCTAAGAACAACTGCACGCTTGGTTTGAAATCCAAGGGGGCAATCTGGGGGAATTTGTGGAGGTGAGCAGGACATTTTTGCCACTGTTGGAATCTCATTTTTGAGATCAGCTGATCTGAATGTTGAATGTGCATTGCTGTTCTTTTTCTTTCTGTCTTTGTTTTTTGTGTGTGTGTGTGGGGGGGGGGGGGGGGGGGGCATGTTTACGGTCTGGGTTCCCCTTTTAGTGATAGAGATCCAACAAATGCATGCACACATGGTGGTATGAGAAAGTACGTGGTCCATCTGTTTTTGCTTTCTTTTCACCAAAATGATGATTTTAATTAATAATGAGGCAATGTTGAATGATAGGAACGAGAATTTGCCCTCAACTGTAACATTTTGGATTAACTGTGTTACCACATATTATTTATAAAATTAGATTTCAGTAGCGAGAAATGACTCTGATTACAACTGGACCTACTGGTTCAGTTCAACTGAACATGTCTGACAAAATAAAGCAGGCTAAACAATCTCAAGAAACAACACATCATGCCCTATTCTAAAGAAATATATGGCCTGTATTTGTAAAGCACCTTCTTAGGGTTCTACAACACCCCAAGGCGCTTCACAACACAATCGTCATTCACACACTGGTAGGGATGAGCTACGATGTAGCCACAGCTGCCCTGGAGAGCTGTGACAGAGGCGAGGCTGCCAAGCACTGGTCCCAATGGTCCCTCCGACCACCACCAGCAGGCAAGGGGTTACATGTCTTGCCCAAGGACACAACTGCAGAATTATCTGGTTGGAGCCTTACTACACACAACCTTAAAGAGGTTGAGCATAAAACTTTCTAATTTATTCTCCAAAGTCGTCCAACTACAAATGCCAATCACTCAGGCTCCTGTTGACTGAAAGAGGAACTGAAGTAACCTTCACCTTTGCTTCGAAGGCTTTCTCTTCTCCTGCGATGTGTTGCTGTTGGATAACTGAAATCCTCTTAACAGACTCAAACAAGACTCACCTGCTTCTTAACCACTTTGTGTTTTTTGCACAAGTACTGTATACTGTACGGAACTGTTAATGCATTGATGTCGGAGCACAGTTCTTCTCTTCTCCGCTTCAGGATCCATCCATCACCCATTCTCCTCTATCACTGTTTGTGTCAAATGGTGTCTGTTTCCCCATCCTCCCCCCTTCCGCCCCTCCTGACAGACATAATATAAGATGTTTGATGTGTACCTGTGTGAATCAGTGCGAATACGGCTGGCAATGTATTGCTTCTATCAAGTTACGCCACCTCTGCAGGGAAAGATAGATATTATCATGGTTATGGCTCATGGCCTCTGATAAAATTACAGCTTCTTATTTAACTTTGTTTTCTTTTTTTCTTTTTTTTACACCCTCAACAATTTATTCCCCACACAGAAATAAAGAAGAAAATGTCTTGGAGCTGTTTTCACATTGAGAAGTACCCCCGCAGTCAGCATTATGGCTACTGTGTGGATAAAATAGCATGTGGCTGAACATAAGAGTCATTTGTTTCTCCACGGCATGATTATTTAGATGCTTCTGGTGATACATTTGTTTTATTTCAGCTCTAAGATGTTGGTTAGAGTTGCCATGAAGATGATATATTTTTGGGAACGTTCTTAGCAACAGGTCCTGAGAAAACATACAGGTCAGCACATCAAGTGTGGCCTGAAGGAGGCACCGTTGGGGCACCCCCGAGAACTTACTAAGCCAACAATAAAAAGAAAACAGATCCTCATTTAAACACAAATATTAGAACCTTGAACTTTGCATGGAAAGTGAAGCCAATGGAGATGCACAAGAACTGGAGTGAAATGGAGACGTCGATTTTTGTTAGTCAGAATCCTTTCAGCATTATGAATGACCTGCAGCCGGTTCAGGACGGGTTTTAAACGTATTAGACGGCGTAACTGATAAAATCATGATCGCACCTCCAAGTTTATCTGAGAGATCAGTATCCACTCCATGACTAGTCAAACACTGGCTAGGATTAAGGTGTGAAAGATCCAGGCAGAAAGAGAGCTAGGGGAATAGCCAGAGTCAAAAAGGATAGACCCAGATTTGACTCATTTAGTTTGAGTAAGTTAGCAGTCAGCCAGCCCTTCACATCAGCCAAGTAGCTGGAAAGTTGGTTATTTAATGCCGCATAGATCTGGCAATCAACAGCATAGATGTGAACATTGAGACCAAGACATTCCATAATTTTGCCCGGTGGAAGTAGATGTATGGAGAACAGGAGATGCCCAAGGACGGAGCCTTGTGGCACACCCATGGAAGAGGGAGGTGGGAAATGGCACTGTCTTTGATCTTTTCAGTGATTCATCGGTTTGCTGTACCCGCCCAGGCCTCTAAAATTACTGACTATTAAAACCTGGGCTAAGGCTTACCAGTGGGAACTGGTCAGTAACTGGGAGGCAGAACCCCAATAAAGTAACACACACACACACACACACACACACACACACACACACACACACCACCACACACCACCACCACCACCACCACCACCACCACCCAGAGACCTTCCAGCCACCACCTGAAGCTATCAGCCTGTAACAAAAGAATAAAATAAATTGAGGTCCTTGAATCAATCAATCAATCAATCAATCAAATTTTATTTCTAAAGCGCTTTTCAAACAAAGTGTGATTCAAAGTGCTTTACAAAATGACCCCAGATTCCCATAACAGGTTAAAAACATTAACAAACATATGCAATCACACGCACACACACACAGACTCACACACACACACGAGTAAAAATTATATTAGGCTGAGTCCAGATGAGCCAAGTATGGTAACGCAAGGAAACGCCATCAGAGGAGCCGTCTGTCCCGGCAGCATCAGGTCTTCCACACTAACTCAGGGCGCTCAGTGGAGGGGGAGCATAGACCCCCACCTATAGAGCGCCCAGGAAGCTACAGTCGACCACCGCTCCCGGGGCAGAGGG